CATCTTAGAGGAAGGGCTGTTGGCTTGACCAGGTGTCTTTTCTTTGTACCCAGAACCACGCCAGTCTTCTCACCCTGCCCTCTGCCCAGAAACTGACCTCTCTGGACTGCTCTGCTAGGGCTCTTTTGCCCTCTGGCTTTGGTTGGGTTGGATCAACAGAAGTCTTAGCAGTTGATGTGTGACAGGTCACATCCCTTTGATGTTGCCTTGGGCTTCTTTGTCCCTTACTAAAGCTCTCTCCTCTCAACATTCTCTGAGGGACACCTTTCACATTCAAATGACCACATTCCCTCCTTGTTCCTCTTGGACCTAGGGATGATGACTTTTTAACTGCTATAATCAACTATGTTGGACTGGGTAATTTATTTCTCACAGTTATAGAGGCTGGGAAGTCCAAGATCAAGGCTTGGAACACTAGGTGTCATGTGAGGAAGGCTTCCTCTGGCCCATAGTTAGCACCTGTTGCTGTGTCCTCACATGGCAGACAGGTATAAAGAAACCGAGTCCTTCCAGTCTTTTCATAAGAGCACTAATCCCATTCATGAGAGTGGAGGCCTCATGACCTAATTCCCCTGGAAAGATCCAGCCTCTTCATACTGCTGCACTGGGGATTAAGTTTCAGCATGAAACATTTAAACTGTAACACACTGCTCAGCTGCTACCTCCCTCGTGTTTTAAAGAGTCATTTTATAAATGAGCCATCCTTAAATTATCCTAATTTGAATGTGACGGGTTTGGTCCCAACAGATAAGATGTCCTATCCATTTTTTTAGACCCTGCACATACCACGGAGCCATAGTAGGTGAATAGCAACTTTTTATGAAATAGATAATCTCTAAAACTTCTTCTGACAATATGTACATGATTCTGTTCTCCTACAAGTCATCAAGACATTATGCCTTGGGGAGAATCATGAAGTCATCATAGATAGGGTCACACATGGGCACACTCAAACGCACAGTCACTCACTTAGACAGTGCTGGCATCAAGAGGTGACTCCAGGGAGTAGGCTTTAGCACAGTAAATTTCCAGCATTTTCCTTAAAGCCATGGCAAATTAAAATGCATTCTAATGTAAAAACCTGTGCTTATTGTGCAAATACAGCTTCTACTCCCAACTCTCTTTGAGAGGGTTCTTGGGGAATCCATAGTTCCTTCTGCATAAGTGCTCTCTCCCTTCCCTTCTGTTTTTCCCCTCCCCCCCTCCCCATCTTGTCAAATGGCATATATTCTCTCTCCTCCTCAGAATGGTAGGATGATGGTTTTGTGTGTTGGGAGACTCAGAGAGAATTGGTGTCTGTGGGGGGAAAAATATTCTGAGAAGCATATCTGTTCATCCAACCTACTTTAGAACATTTCCATGTGGATTATTTATCCATGGGAGTTAGCCTGGAGGCTAATCCTAGGAACCACTGAGTAGAAGCCACAGGCTTTGTTGCCTATGCCTACTGGTCACTGGGGCAAGATCTGACTCTGCAATGGACACAGGTATGTGGTGAGCTGAAACATACAGAGTGATCAACACATCAAGGCTGTAAGAGCCCAGCTTTTATTTCACTGAAATTTTAAGAGCAAGGGGAATAGCTATTTATTGCTGCCCAGCAGTGACTGAGGAATTCTGAATTATAATTTCCACATGTCACCCACACAGCAGATGACAGTGAGTGAGTGAGTATGAACAATAATCTGGTACTGTGAACAAGGAGAAAAATCATCTCCAAACTGATGTCTCTTCCACCAGCTTTGCCTTTAACAAATTTACCCATTATGCTGCTGCTAGGATGTATTTTTAAAAACAAATTTGACCTTCCCTTTCTGCTCATTGGTATTTCTACCTACAGTGTAAAAGTCTGCCTTCTTAAACTTTTAAAATATGCCCAGATTTATATTCTCAGTTTCAATTTACCACCCTTTCAGAGTATGCGCACGCGCGCGCACACACACACACACACACATTTACACACCAGTAACATCAAACTGATAACAGCTTCCCAAATATTTTATTTCCTCTACCTGGAAATTGTTTCTATTATTTCACTTACTTACCAAAACAAAGTTATATTTTATCTCTCATACTGAATTAGGCATTTCCTCTTCTATGACAATGCTACTCCAATATTAATGTATGTATGATCCCCTGCACCAAAATATAAATAAATAGTTTAAATGCAGATTATTGTTCAGTAAGTGAGAATGAAGCCTGAGAATTTTTTCTTCTCTCATAAACTGGTAATTCTATTGCTGCTGGTCTAGGGACCACATTTTGAGTATATTATCCCTCTCCTGATTAATTCTATTATTTTCTGAGTTTCTTTCTGGGTTCTTCTCTTCTTTGACTATATTTCCATTGCTGTACTATAATTTTATTTGTCTACATATCTGCTGTATGCCTTCCCTACCAGACCCAGTTTCTTGAAAGTAAAGATGGCCAAAATTCTTTGTTTTTATAAAGCTGTGTACTATGCTGAGTGCATGACACATCGGAAGCATTGGAGGGTCCACATTTAATGAATAGTTTTGAATGATATACTTTTTTGGGGGGAGATAAAACAAGGTAGCCAATTTTTTGGGGGGTGGGGTGGGTACCCAGGATTGAACTCAGGGGCACTAGACCACTGAGCCACATCCCCAGCCCTATTTTATATTTTATTTAGAGACAGGGTCTCATTGAATTGCTTAGTGCCTCACTGTTGCTGAGGCTGGCTTTGAACTTGGGATTCTCCTGCCTCAACCTTCCAAGCTGCTGGGATTACAGGCACTTGCCACTCCAAGTAACATTTGTGTGTGTGTGTGTGTGTGTGTGTGTGTGTGTGTGTAAAACTTTTACCATTTGGATAAATGGTTTACCATTTGGATAAATTCGGAACTTAAGCCATGAATGATACATTTATTAAAACACAGTTTTATTCGCACATATGCAACTTTGTGTGCTCTACAAAGGGTAAGAGATATTTGTAACATTTTTATTTTGAACACTAACAGTGACTGTACACTAATAAATAGTCATCTGACTTAAGTATAAATACATAGTCTAAAAAGATACATAGACTCAAAATCTACAAAATGCAACTACAACAAAAACCTTGTATAAGGGAATTCTCTGTGAATGCAGAGCACCATTTTCAATATGTGAGAGGGAAAATCATCTGACAAGAAGCCCGTTTTGCAATACAGGACACTGGGAGGTGAGTGATGTACACGTGTTCAGTTGAAGCCCCAACGACTCTGAGCTTAAAAAAGATAATACCATGCAGAGGAAAGTTTTCTAAGCCAAACCACAGAGATCAGTCCATTCTGATGTTTTCCTTCAGGGCTGAATGTCCCAGAAATGGTCTCTAATTAAGGGTTCCAAAGAGAATGCACAAAATGCTAAAATGTAAACAGGGACGATTGTGGATAAGTTGAGTAAGATCATCTTCTGAATGATAGAATTTTATCTTGAGGCTCTGTTTCACAATAATTATGGTTAAAAGTTATGCATCTAAATCTCAAGCCAGCCAAAAATATCGTAATTCAAAAGAGTTGATTGCAACACTGATAATTTCTCTAAGAGTTTAAACTGAACATTGGAGAAAAAGCAAGTTTGTCTTATATCAGGGAATACCCCCACATACAAAGTGTCCAAGAAGACTGCAGCTCAAAGTTGAGGTGGATAATTAAGGCAAATATTTATCCTTCTGCGGTAGGATCTACTTTGAAGTTCATCTGTAAATGGCTTCATGCAATGTGATTCGGGTGGGCAGGGAAAATTAAAGGGTTAATTAACTGAGTAACTACAAAGTCACTAACCATGATCAAGATGAGGATGAAGGTGAAGAAAGTGAAGATCCTATTTCAAGTTGGAGCTCCACATGGTCCACTGAGTGGTCTCTGCATAAGCAGCATTCCTCATTGGTGCTGTATTGATTTCTTTATGGGCAGTCTGTGGATTTCTCCAGTTTTTGATCTCCTTTGCAATCCCTTTCACTCTCAGTAGGAGGCAGTGTTGAATAAAAACAAGGATTCTGGGCTGGGGTTGTGGCTCAGTAGTAGAGTGCTTGCCTAGCATGTGTGAGGCACTGGGTTTGATTCTCAGTTTATATTCGCATATAAACAAATAAATAAAATAAAGGTCCATCAACAACTAAAAATATACATATTTTTAAAAAATAACAAAGATTCTGCAATGGAGTCAGACTTTGGCTGGTATTTTAGCTCTATACTTCCCAATTCTGTCACCTTGGGCACATTTCTTGGCTTTTTAAAATGGGGGTCCTAAATTGATGTGAACTCAGGTACATTCCCCAGGAAGGGCTTGTAGGTCAGTATATGTATCTACTGTGCCCTACAAGAACTCAGCCAACAGTTGGACATCCTGTATATCCAGGAAGCACCACAGTGCTTGACTCAGTTTCCTTATAAATAGTTTAACCAAGAACAAAGTTCTTATCCCTCTCCTAGAATTTTGAGAGACTTGAAATCTCAACCTTAGAACTGCTCTCTGTAAGACCACACTGGCCGACACAATGCTGCCCCCTGTTGATGCAGGTAGTACTGTTCAGGGAGAGGGCTGATTCCCAGTGGCTGGAATGATGAGGATTCCGGAAATAATCATTCCTAAGCACTCTGCGTAGAAGAAGAGGCACAGTCACTTGCATGACTTGATACAAAATGGGAGCACTGGCATGGTAATGCCTTTTTTCTCTTTGTTTGTTTGTTTGTTTTGGGGCCGGGGAGGTGGTCCTCTCAGATGCCCTCTTATTCCTGACTAGACATCTGATACCTCATGGTCCAGTCATGGGATCTGAATGGTTCATCCCGATCCATCCAAGCTCCTCCAGGGAGTGATGAGGCAGTGTGCTCTGTGAAGCCTCATGAAGCTGCTTCTCAGGACATCCGGCCTCTGGTGTAAGCAGCTGCTTCAGTACATCTACTGCAGGAAACTGCGGCTGACTGCATCACAGCAACCGAGCATGCTTCCTGGCCTTAACCAACTCACTGGTTTTCTTAGAAAAAGAGTCATGCTTCTTATTCTCCTTGGCCCCCATATACTGGTATATTGTGTGGTTGGGTCAAATGAAAATCCCCGGAACCATAGCCTTAGATCCGTGCTTAATGTTAAAAATAAGAATCTGAGCTCCTACACCTTCTCTGCCTATTGTTAAGAGGTGCAAGAAGTGCTCCCTGAAAGCCGTCAGACTAAGGTCTGTGCATTCAGGTGACAAGAGGCTGGAGAGGAGAGGACACAGTGACATTGCTGCTATGCTGGCCTGCTCTCAGCTTGGTGGCCAACCCCTTGCCTGTGACCTGGCTTTAGGCCTCTGTCAGGAGGCTGCATTCATCACAGGGGCCAGTGCTACAGGCCAAGCTGCCTCCAGGAGTCCTGGGCTGGTGGCAGTTTTTAATGCTCTATGAAAGGAGGACACTCTGCCTTCAGTCACCTGCAGCTCATGGCCTGGCAGTGAGTCTCTACTAAAGTCCTGATTCTGCGATTTCAGCCAGTTGACCAAAGAGTCTGGAGAAGGGTGGCCGGTCTTCTGGTCTCTGAGGAGGAAAAAAGGAAATCTGAGTTCCTTCTACTTATGTGTCATAGATAAATCCAACACAAACCAGTAGAATGCAATAAAAGTATCTTGTGCTAAACTTTAAACATGATTTTATATGTATTGTATTGGTAGCATAATTCTTTCACTATTATAAGCAGGTATTCTGAAATCAAATCACTTAGCTTTAAATCTCAACTTTACCACTCATTAACTGGGTGATATGGAACAAACAGGTTCCTAAAGCTCTTTGAATTTTAGTTTTTTTTTTATCTATAAAAGGAGATAATAATAAAATTTACCTCATAAAATTGTTTTGAGAATATAATGTCATACATAAAAATACATCATAAAAATTAAAGCTAAATCTCATCAAAAAGAAATATTTAGGCATAAATCACACAATATGTATGATCTAGATGAGGAAAAATGTAACATTCTAATAAAAGAAACCAAAGAAGATCTAACTAAATGGAGACAGATTTTATGCTCATGGATAGGAAGACTAGGGTGTTAAGATATCAGTTCTTCCCATGTTGATTCAACACAATTCAAACAACAAAAACAAACAAACAAACAAACAACAACAACAACAACAAAAAAAACCAGTAAGTCATTTTGTGGGCACTGACAGACTTTAAAGTTTATATGGACAGGCAAAAACAACGATGACAAAGAACAAAGTTGGAGATGCTGCTCACCTGACCCTACTTTATTTTAGGACTTACTGTAAAACTACAATAATCGTGCCAGGATGGTACTGGTGAAAGAATGTACAAATAGATCAATGGAACAAACCGGAGAGCTCAGATATGTGTGTGTGTGTGTGTGTGTGTGTGTATAATATTATCTATATAACTATATATAATATATAGTTACTATGTAATATAGACATTGTATATAGTTATATTTAAATAAATTCACAAAAATGGATCCATCTACATGTAATGTTTATATCAGCTTCATTCATAATTGCTGAATAAATAAATAATTATATACATAATATGTTTATTATATATATATATATATATATATACATATATACACTAATCTTTTACAAAGAAAAAATAATGCTAGAAAAATTGGGTATCTACACAAAATTATTCTAGTAACAGGCCTCATCCCTTTCATAAAAATTTACTCAAACTGCATAATAGACCTAAATATAAAATGCATAACTATAAAACTTCTGTAAGATAACAGGAGAATATCTGGGAAATTTCAGGTTTTACAATGAGTTTTTAGACACAACATCAAAAGCATAGTTCATTAAGAAAAAATTAATATTGAATTTTGTTATAATTAACGACTTTTGCTCTGTAAAAGACACAGATATTATGTTAACTATAATACATTAATAAATATTTAAAAGTATACAGAAAATTAAAAAACAATCTATAGGTTGAAAGAAAATATTTGTAAAACATCCATTTGATAAAGGATTTTCACCCAAAATATACAAAGAATCCTTAAAACTCAACAATAAGAAAACAACCTGATTGAAAAATGGGCAAAAGATCTGAACAGACATTTCACCAAAAGATACACAGATGGCAAATAAGCATACAAAAAAGTGTTCACCATCATGTGTTGTTAGGGAATGCAACTTAAAGCAACAATGAGTTATCACTAAACATCTATAAGAATGGCTGAAATCTGGCACAACTAATACCAATGGATAAGGACAAAGCACACCAGGAGTTCTCATAGCTGGTGGGAATGCAAAGTGGTACAGCTAGCTTGGAAGGCAGTCTGGCAGTTTCTTACAAAGCTAAACATAGTCTTACCATATGATCCAGTAGTCACACTACTAGGCATTTACCCAACTGAGTTGAAAATTTACGTCCCATAAATAGATCCACATAAATGGATCCGTCTACATGTAAATGTTTATAGTAGCTTTATTCATAATTTCTGAAAACTGAAAGCAATCAAGATTTCCTTCAGTAGGTAAATGTACAAACAAACCATGGTATATCCATATAATGGAATATTATTTTGCAATAAAAAGAAATGACATACCAAACCAAGAAAAGACATGGAGCAACATTAAATGAATATTACTGGTGAAAAAAGTCAGAATGAAAAGGCCACATACTGTATAATTCCAACTATATGACCATCTGGAAAAGGCAAAATCTTGGAGACGGTAAAAGGTTTGGTAGTTGCCAGTAGTTTGGGATGGGAGAAGAATGAATAGGAGAAGCACAGATGATTTTTAGGGTGGTAAAGCTATCCTATATGACACTTTAATGGTGGATACATGACATTATGCATTTTTCAAAATTCTTCAACTCTACAGCATCAAAAGTGACCTTAATGTGAATTACAAACTCTAGTAATGACAATGTATTGACAGAGGTTCACTAATTGTTACAAGTGTACCACACTTGTGCAAAATATTTATAACCAGAGAGCAAGGAGAGTATTTAGGAGCTCTCTGCATGCATTGCTCAATTTTTCTGTAAATTTAAAATTTCTAAAAAATAAGGTCCACTAATTTAAATATATAAAAATGTTGAAAGAGAAAAAAATGCTAAATTAACATCAGCTATTAATATTATTATAGCATTTAATCCTTGTAGAGAACACAAGATTTGTGCCCCCCTTTATGTCATTGTTTGTTTATTTGTTTTTTGGTTATAAAAAGCTCTAAGAATTTGTAAATAAAGCATTATTTAATGATCTTACAAGAAAAATGAGGCTCAGAGACAATTGCCCAAGATTAATGGAAAAGAAATGGCAAAACTGTGACAAAATCCAAGTGTTCTGTATAAGTATATATGTTCACATTCTACCTTTTTGTCCTTTAACAATCTGAATTTTTATTGACTCTCCACTTCAGCCATTTTCTACTTTAGCTGAATTGTACAATTTTGTAACTCACCAAAAGACAATTAAGATTCACATCAATGTGGCTCAAGGCAGAGCCTATGAACTAAGGATGGGGGTAAGTGAGCCATCTGGGAAGATCCGAAATGACTCCAAATTCTGAATTGTTGAATAAATAATAAAAATTTTAATTTAATCCTTTTAATATTTTCATAGTAAAAGTGAACTCCTGGTCCCCTATTTATAGAACTAACTTCCTGTTCTTTTCATGGTTTTATAAAGTTTTTTTTTTCTGCTCAAAAAGTTGAGGAGGGTGTTGACATAGCCCCTCTCTATCCTCTTTGAAACTATACTAATGACTTGTGATATTACATAGAAAATTGAATAATAATTAAGGTTGATGTTAACTTTGTTAGGGTTGGAGAATCTATCCAATTGATTAACAGAAAATAACCAATGCTGGTGAGGATGTAAAAATAAGGGGGTGGCGGAATACATACACTCTTGGTAGAAATCTGAATTAATATGTTTATGGAAAACACCATGGAGGTTCCTCAAAACACTAAAAATAGAACTACCATGTGATCCACTTCTCAACACATCAGAGAGATACTTGTACTCTCATGTTTATTGTAGCACCATTCACAGTGGCCAAGAGGACATTATATTAAGTAAAATGTTAGACACCAAAAGACAAATGTATGTTCCCTCATATATATATAGAAAGTTGAAAAGTCAATCTGAATGTAGAATAGAGATTACCAGAGGCTGGAAAAGGTAAGAGGAAGGAGAATGGGGGAGACTGGAAAATGAGTACCAAAAGATATGTTAGATAAAAAAGAATATGTTGTGTTTCACAGCACAGTGGGCTGACTGTAGTTCACTATAACCTATTGTATGCCTTATAAAAAGTTAGAAGAGAAGAGTTTAAACCTCCAAACATAAAGTAATGATAAGGATATGGAAATGTTAATCACTCCAATTTGATCTGCACACACTGTATTCATGTATTGAAATATCATATTGTATCCCATAAAAACTGCACAATTACGATGTGTAATCAAAAATTACTTTTAAAAAGTTTAAGGATGTTGAAATGGTAACTACCCTGATTTGATCATTACACATTGTATACAAGTATCAAATTGTCAACAGTGCCCCAAAATATGTACAATTAAAAATAATAATTTAAAAAATGTAAAGACTTTCAAAGTTACCTTCCTGCTAATCTGTTAGTCAACCTGCTGCCTCATCCTTCTAAGAGGGAGCCATTCTCCAGGGAACAGGGTAGCTCTGTCATAGTGTATTATCATGTATTAAAGGGGGACACCACTTCACCTACTGACCTCTTTCCAGCAATGATTCATGATCTGGTAGATGTGGGAGGAGGCTAGTCGGGGCTTGTATAACCGAAATCCGGTACTGATGTCTTCCACTACCTCTGAGTTGCTTCTGTTTTCATATGGGATTCTGCCTTCGCTGAAGACTTCCCACATCAGCACACCTACAAGTAACAAGGAGCAAACACAGCTAAGAAGGAAGTCCACAAACACAAACAAAAAAGGAATAAGGCAATTGGGCATTGACATTCAAGCTTCTCCCTCCAGACAACCAGAAGTGCAAAGCAAGTCTGCCTGAGGCCTATTTGGCCTGTCAGTTATTTACTTATGTATTTATTGTCCTACTTTTTAAAAACTGCAATTTCTCAACCTGCCTAAAGGCAAAGAATTCTCAAGCTAAGCTTTTTATTATTTCTAACTCAAAAGCTACAACTGAAAGTTGCAGGGGACAAAAACTGAAATGTCTACACATGCATGACATAAATGAAGGGAGTGGGAGAGATGTGACACCATGAGTACTGGTGAGGACTGGAAAACTGGAGATCAAAAGTTCTATCAAAACAGGACAGCTATGGTTTGCTCCAGCTAAAGGATGCCACATGGAAACAGAGCTCAGGATTGTCACATTTTCTGATCTTTAAAAACAAATCAGAAATTGGAGACTTCAAAAGGTGAACTCAATATGATTTTTTAAAAATGCAGGTCCAGCATCCTTGAACCAAAACTCCAAATGCACCAGAATCAAAATTGTTGAGTATTGACATGAAACCACAAGCGGAAAATTCCACATCATGAAACTTTGTTTCATGTACAAGTTATTAAAAAAATATAGCTGGGTGCAATAACACAGACCTGCAATCCTAGCATTTCAAGACTGAGGCAGGAAGATCAAGGCCAAACTCAGCAATTTAGCAAGACCTTATCTCAAATTTAAAAAATAAAAATGACTGGAGGTGTAACTCAATTGTAAAGTGCCCCTGGGTTCAATCCCCAGTAACACCCCTCCCACACAAATATGTGTGTGTGTGTATGTATATATGTGTGTGTGTGT